CTAATGGGCCTCGGCGACGAAGGGATTGCTAATCAGACTCAATATAACGCCGCTCGCTCACATATTCCTTGGTGGAACTCTTACTGAGTTCTCTGTAACCATAGAACTGTGCCCCCTGGAGCCACGACTACTCTCCGCTGCCTTGCGGTCATATTCATATGCAGAAAAGTCGGTGGAAGTAAACCCAGAGATAAAACTGGAGTGGAGCCTCGAATTCGGTTGGCTATCAACTTTCCGGCAACTCCTGCATCCAAATCGTCCCCAAATGTAATGCCCTATATTCGTTTGACCCTTGTCAGTAGGGGCGAGATAATGGCATATAATCTGTGCTGCTCATGGTCTCTATCTCCCAATCACAAATCACCGCCAAAGGAGTGAATTTTAACGAAGCAGGGAGCTATCTTTATCTCGTGAGATAAACGGTTATCTACTCCTGTATTGTTGTTAATTACGGCATATTTAGGTGTGAGTGCGTAGGTAATTTTCACACACACACACACAAACATATATATATAAAGGTTTTTCTAAGAATTTACCCAGATATTGAATGACTGAATAGCCTAGATATTGAATATATATATATATATATATATATATATATATATATATATATATATATACCGTCTTCCACAGACAGACTGTTTCGCTGTTTCACAGCTCATCAGTGTGGCTAGACATCCGGTTGCCTCCAGCTAGGGTCGAAACCCGACTGTACTGGTGTCAGTCGGAGATTCTAACGGTAGGGAGGAAAGGTAGGGAGGAAAGTGGATTTTTAGCGTGTTTATCTTTATAAACACGCCCAGTGACCGGGAGTGACTCAATTCGCATTAGCGAAGAGTCTCGCTATATAGCTATAATAGTCACTGTTTACCAACCCACATCTCCTCCCCAGAGAGCTCAACTGAAATTAATTTTTCAGGAGATATATATATTAGGCGCCGTCCCTTTTCAAGCTTCGCGTGAACGTGCCCTTTCTAAGGCCTTTTCCATCACTACCGGCAGTGTTTCAGGATCTACTGCTCTGATGTATGTCTGAATATTGTCCTTCAACTGTTGAAAAGTTTGATGCTTGTCGACATAACCCTTTCCTTTGGGATAACATAGAAAGAAACAGTTTGTCAGATATGGAGAACGTGGTGGCCAGTTTAGACAGTAAGAAATGATTATTTTCCACGAAATTTACCCGAGAAGCTGGATTTGGGTCTTTGCCGTATGAGCTGCTGTCCACCCCGACGCCAATCTTTTAGTAAGGAAACAAACTGATGCATTTAAAAATTCGTTACAATAAAGTCGGAGCTCCAAACCTGTCAGTACCGCTTTCTAGTTAGTGCGCTCTGATCTCTCTTAGACGCTCAAATGATTATTCATTCCTAAACTAATATGGTATCCCACTTCGTGAAGGGTTACTGACTGAATCTTTACTCTTAAAACTTGGAGAATCTCTCAAACCGTAATGGCGACGATATGTTCATTGAGTTTGAAGTATTGATCGTGGGTTTGGTAGAAAGATTTCCCTAATAATTTTCATATTTTTTGGTCGAAGGTTTTACTTGATTCCTTTCTCAGATCTTTATAAAATAACTGGAAGAAAACTAGAATAATAAAAAAAAAGTTTTAATTAGCAGAAAAGTGACTAAACTTTCAGAGCCATTGGTGGCATTTAAGATACCCTGTTATTTTGGATATCTGCGCCAGTGTTACCCTAATTAACCACATCAGAATCATATTTTCGACGATTATGCACAGGTATATACAAGGTTTTTCAAAGAATATATGCACATATGTACAAACCATAACGCAATAAATATTTTTTTGTTGTTTTATTAATGTGAAACTGTCTTAAATTAAGAGCTGAATTAAACTAAGATAAGAGTCCTTGGTATGACGATAAACCACATCCGGCAGCAAGACATCTGATCGGGAGATTGGAGATTTTGAAGCTCGTGAAACCACCTCTTAATTGCTGTTGTCTCCAGGTCCACCCTGACCCGAGGTGGTAGCAGCTGCTAGGATCCAAAAAATAGACAAATAGCGAACCATTAAACAAAACAAAACATTATATACTCTGTCACTATTTTCATGCTAAATCTTCAGATGTATTGCGTTCTCTAGTTCCACCAGTTCAGACGTTTACAGCGAGAAAACACCATGCTACTTCCACGGAGTCGAATCACCTTTATTTCCTCTTGATTCTAAATGTACGAATTAAGTTCTACTTAGATTTTTGTTAAGCACCCCCTTATGGAACAGACTCCGAGCATGAAGGCTTTCCATAAACACATTCATGTTAACTCCTTCCAGTCAAGGATAAATTGTCACATGTCCTTCTTATCATCATAAGCTACACTTCCTACCACGTTCAATCATACACAGTCACATCCGTAATTACAATTTCAACAGCGGCCCTCTTTCTTGAGTGGGTCACGAGCCTTGTATTAGATGAACTTTAGTAAAAACAAAAAATAACGATCCCATTTTTAAAAAGTGATAAACTATTTCCGATTAATTGTTCTTTTAATTTCTATTCCGAATAATGCTTAACGTACCTCACCCACATGGCATTACCAACGTCATCTCTTAGTACTAAAATCTGTGATTCTCTACCACTGAACGATGCCTACAGCTGTAATTGGGGACATCTCAATTACTTTATGTTGTAATATGGTTGCAGTCGATCAGAAAGTAAAAGCAACAAAAGTGAAACTAAATTTAATTGCGTTAATTTAAGAATGTATTGATTACAAGCCTCAAAAATAAAGAGACCGGAAATTCTAATTTGATTTATTATAACGTATTTTCGACAAATCCATTTACGCAAGAATTCAACATAACATTCGTTCTGCTTTTGTGCGTCACAATTTTGAATTTTTATATTCCAAACACACTTTGTCGAATTACAGCTGCAAAAACTTAAATACATTCTCAAATTCAATTCATATTTCAATAATTTTATGGTATTTTCGCTAAACACAACTGTTTATTAAAATTTGGTACTTGCATGCTTCAGAAGCATGGAGCCTGCCTCAGGGTAAAAAAAATTGTATATTTCTCAACAGTAAATCAGATCAGCGAACAAACCTACGCAAAAGATAGCTTTTTGAATACTGAAGGGTCCAACGGGTCCTAAATATTCACTCATATTTTCATTTTCACTTTCGTTTTTCACTTTTCATTTTCACTTTCATTTTCCCAATTTGGCATTTGTCTCAAATTAATTTGAGTCTACGAAAGTCTTTTCTAAAGACATATCCGGTAGCTTATCAGTCAGTTATGTGCCATGCGTGATACACTCTTAGACGTGTTTCGATACATGACTCCCGCAGAAGTTTGCTATTTATTTTCTGCAGTAGACCAGTTGCCATCCAAGGCGACAAACCCGGTCTATTCTGCTTTTTACTCATAGCTGTAGAGCATTCATATCTTTCCCAAGATTATTAGGTAATTAGTTAATGTAATGGATTTGATTGGAATTCGACCTCGGCTCTCCCATTCCTCAATCCGAGCTGCTATCCATTACTCCAATGAGTGTAGCTGATATATTTGCATATTTTCAACAAATATCTTTACTCGGTGTTTGAGTCCATTTAGGAGCTACGTTATCGTCACCTGATATTTAAGCCTGAGAGTTTTTAAGCACTTCGAAAAATGGCGTAGCATAAAATCCTTATCGTTATTTAGGTGTACTCCTGATTCCCCCCAAGCTTAAATATGTAACAAAGTGAATACTTTCTTCTAGAAGTACAAGTCACTGTGTATTGCAAAGTTTTACTGCAGACCTTCGACAAGTTGGGGCACAAAGATTATCTACAAAAGCTCTCCACCTATAGAATCAGTGGAAGGGTTTTCTTAGTTATAAAATGCTTCGTAATAGGTATATCCCTGACGATAAATATAAACGGTCAGTCATCCAAGGACCTGACGGTCAACTCAGGCGCACCCCACCGGGGTCTCTTCTCAGGCCAACCCTCTGTCTGATTTACATAAATAAGAATATATTCAGATCATTTGTAATAATCTATGCTGATGATACGATGATATACGTGCATACCTCTAAGAGTCTAGATGATCAGAGCTTAGCATCTGACCTCACTTCCGATCTAGCACAAATTTTCCAGTGAGAAAAAAAAAGGCTGGCTGGTTACATTCAAAAGCTCGAAAACCAAACTAGGTACATTCCGACCCCAAATTACTACCAGTCACGACGAACGGATATACCCTTGAGGAGGACCCGTTCCTTTAGAGAATATTTGGCCTCACACTCAAACTCGACCTCAAGTGGAACCCGTATATACAATGCATCGTTAAAGATGCAGGTAAAATGATCGGCTCCCTGTACATTTCCAGTAAGTACCTAACGTTTCATGATTGTCGCTACCTTTATCAGAGCCAGATCAAGCCGAAAATGGAGTACTGTATTCATATTTGAGTGAGAGCTGTGAAGTCTTCATTTTTCAGTCTTGATAGGGTCCAAACACCTCATCGACTCCTTGGTGAAGAAGAATTATTTTCCCATCTTCCAACCTCTTTCTCATTGGCAGGATGTGGTGAGACTCACACTTTTCTATTGCTATTTCCATCGAAAGTGTTCGGACGAACTACATTCTTTGGTTCTGCCAAGTCAATATATATATATATATATATATATATATATATATATATATATATATATAAGCAAGTGTAAATGTATATATATATATGCGTGTGTGTGTGGAAGTAGTAATTGAAGATCTCGCGAAAATCACCAAGCACAGGTTTCACACTAAATAAGCTGCACAAATAGTTGAATAGAAACATTGAAATAAAGAAAATTCATATTTGTGTACTCATATTTAAAAGAAAAATCTATGGTTTTATTTAATAACATTTACATACATACCCTTTAAAATTTTGATAAGTGTGCTGTGATATTTTCGTTTGTGTGCTGTTGCTTAAAAAGGTTGAGAAACACTACATATTGTGTTGAACTGTGTTTGTAACACAACACAAATGATATCATTTAGTGAAATATCGCCGTACGAAAATATCTATCTATCTGTCTCAACCTGTTCATATCTATCTATCTATCTATCTATCTATCTATCTATCTATCTATTTTGATGATTGTTTTATTCTTTCTTTCTTAATCTGCCTATCTCAGACTGTTCGTAACTATCTATCTATCTATCTATCTATCTATCTGTCTGACTGTCTGTCTATCAGTGTTTTATTTTTTCTTTCTTAATCTGCGTCTATCTATCTATCGATCTATCTATTTTGATGACTGTTTTATTCTTTCTTTCTTTCTTTCTTTCTTTCTTTCTTTCTTTCTTTCTTTCTGAATCTATCTCAGACTGTTCGTATCTATCTATCTATCTATCTATCTATATATATATATATATATATATATATATATATATATTACTTTTCTGTTCTATGTATTATTTTAAGGTCCAAGACCTCAGACATCCCACTCTTCTTTGCCTGTGAACAAAGTATGGTTAGACTTTGTTGTTTTGCATATTCACAAAGGAGATAATCGTTTTGAGCGAGACATATGCACTCAATGGAACACTAAAATGTAGAAAGTACTCTCTACATTGATCTCATCGTCTTGAATACTTAGGTTAATCGTTTTCATCGTATATTTGTTCCCTTTCTTCTCTGGCAATAATTTCTTCCTACAGTCTACTCATTAAACCCATTTAATTCCCGTCTTCTTTACATGCTTACAAATCCCAACCAGGCAGAGAATCAGTCATCAAACAATTTATTCGAAACTCCCTTTTCTAGTCTTCATTATCCGATATCATATCTTCTATGACTTTTCATCAGATGTTTCGCTTGGTTCTTTACAAACGCAAATTTTAATCAATGATAACCCAATCGGATTTCTTACAATTCGCTTTCTTTACACGCTAAACTATTAATGAACCACCCTCCACCTGAAATGTATAGCTTTATTAATTACATCGTTGTTTCCAGAACGAACTTTTAGCATCCATCTTTAGGCCTAAGATCTATATGCGATTGAAGAAAGCAATAAATACATTGTATCTGGACAATAAGAATTGTTTGTTTTCTGTTTCTATATGGCGGAACAACATTATGCAACCTCAGTGCGTCCCGAGTAGAAATTAATCCAATAAGATAATCTTCATTTTAAATGTGTTCATTGATGTTTTTGGAAGAAAATAAAATGTAAAGAAAGTCAGACAAATATAATAGACAACTTTGATTTACACAAGTTGTTTCCTCATTTTACTTAGCTGTTGAAATATATTCCACATGTTGGCATGTTCGGTAGCATGGCGTGATCAAACAAGGACACAACACATCGCAGAATTATATGACTAAAGACACGCTCTCAGGTTCTGATGAGTATTTGACTTGGAAACTCATCTAAAAAAAAAGTGGCTATTAAAATGTTGCATTGGCTTTGGTTCTACTTTTCGCCTTCATATTCTCCTTTTTGTGCAGTCGTAAGTGGACGTACAGTTTGAAAGAAGGAAATATTTACACCTGGTTTTGGTAGAGGCGATTTGAAAACAAAAGTAATATTTTTATTTTCTTGACTCAAACTGCAGGGTGATCCGAAAGTCTTGTCACCCCTTATCTCTCTCCCAAAATGTATGAGCTTGTGTCTGAAATAGAAAATTATGTTATATAGAGGAAGACAAGACTTTCTGGCCACCCTGTGCTTGAAATAAGAAAATCTTTAACCTAGAGAGTTAGAATTAAGGAATTCTAGTCTCTGTCCAATCCCTCTTTTCTTGTGCATTTAGAATCTGATAAAAGAGAAGCCAGTTATCAACCATAGAAAACCAAATTGTTTTTTGTTTTGTTTTGGTTTGTTTTTTCTTTGCTTATTGGTTGATTCATTTTTTACAGTTTATCAACCTATTTGCCAGTTATTTATAGCCATCAAATAGTTTTAGATTGTAAACATTTTTTATATAATAATGATTTAGTGAAAGAAGTCAATTAGTGTGTAAATTCCTCTCGACTAGTTTGTAACACATTATTTATCATTACTCAGTTGTGCCTCTATCTTCGGGCAGAGTGCATTCACACACACACACACACACACACACACACACACACACACACACACACACACACACAAACATATATATATATATATATGCTTTTAATCAAACTTTAATCAAAATATCAGTATGTAGTCAAAGGAAATCTAACTGCCACACAGACGCCGCATTGGTTCTTGATAGTCACTGCGATATTCGATAGTCCTTAAAAAAGAAATAAAGAAATCCTCAACATCTTAGCGAAAAATGGGAAAAATATAAAAAAAAATTAAACAAACTTTTTCGGTTCTATTTTAGCAAAATTGTTTAATTGAAAACTTGGTGCTAAATACACCACACACAATTATATATATATATATATATATATATATATATATAATATATATATATATATATATATATTGTGTTTTATGCCTGTAAATTAGTTATACTGATCGTCAAAGTGAAGTAATAGATAGCGTCTTGGATTGAGGAATCGGAGAGCCGAGTTCGAATTACAGTCGAATCCATTACATTCACTTATGTACTAATACCCTTGGGAAAGGTAGGAATTCTCTTCTTCTCCCCCACCCCCAGTTATGAGTAAATAGCAGGATACATCGGGTTCTGTCGCCTTGGATGGCAGCTGGTGTACCGCGGGAAAAATATCTGCCTCGTCAGTCATATATCGAAAGATGCATGATCGCCTAAGCGTGTATCATAACTGACTAACTGATCGTCAAACATATTTTTCATGGTTCTATAAAAACACATGCGAAAAAAGAATTTTATTAAGTGCAAATTATTGACATGGTTGCAAATTTTATTTTACGCTTGAAAATTTACGTCCTTATGAAAAGCTCATTACTCTCTAGTTGCTAGAAGATTCTGTTCATAACACTCTTAAATTGGAAGAACGTACATTAATCAATGAATTTACATTTTTCTCTTATGCAGGCAACAACTGTCACCATACCAAAGGCAACAAGAACACGATATCGCTCTCAGAAGTTGTCAATGTTATAAGAATGAATGCGGGTCGTAACAAGACTACCAGTATCACTTTTCTAAGTCAAACGTACCCGCCATTATTAAGAAGATATTTTAAAACTAGTACTGTTGTGAACAAGAATGGAAAAGGGCTTGAAACGGATATTTGCAAAACGATTCGGTATTATATAATGAAGTTTGCATAGAGCGTCCCTAGAGTAGCCATTGACAAATAACTTAATCCTCAGCAACTTCAGATGAAATGGTTTCTCTTGCTTAACGATGGGTAGATTTCTTGAAAGATAAGCGTCGAGAGCATTTCGTTCTAGCAAAACTCTTTTTTTCGCAACCTCACAATGTAATGGCACGTTTGAAATTTACTAAAGATTATTTAAAAAATAATTGTGGATTTTGAATGAAAAATATGATCTGCTGAAAAAAGAAACTATTAATTATTTTAGTCATAGCGACGTGTCATGTTTGGTGGATAAACTAATGAAGCTCATCTAACGAAGAACACTGTACCGTTTGTGAAGTGCAGCGGTGGTAGTTTGATGTACGTCAGATTTCAACTGACATCATAGTAAATTGATGCGGGCAATTGTCGAACTATCCACGTTCCAGAGTTCACTCTTCAAAATGATAATATTAATCGTTTCCATGTATGGAAATATTCAGTATTCATTGACAGGGAATCCAGTACCACTTTCAGTTGAAATCTTTCTAGTAAGCAATTTTTCAGGAAAATAGTTTTCTTAAGACCACTAACTGTTATCGCTTTTTCCAATCCAATCCAAGTTGATTAGTTTTCTACGGCTTATCAACCTTTTCAGGCTATTTAAAGCCATAAAATATCTTTAGATTTTAAGAATATTTTTTTTTGAGATAATATAATTGTAGTAAAAGTCTTACTAATTAACCCATATCTGGGGGAGTAAAGTTGGATTCATTCCTTTCCCAAAGCCATTTGCGGGTAAGTGAATATAGCGAACACAACTACCGGTCTTTACATTAATAATTTGGGCTTTCTTTACTAACCTTTTGTTTGTCGTAGTATGGAAACTTATTAACTTTATTATGCTATTATTTAACGTTACATTTACATCCATTTTAGTTGTTGCTGCTGCCGAAAGTCCTCAACTGATGTGGTTTTCTTTTGTTATTTGGTTATGTTTTGTTTGTTAGTTTTGTTTTGTTTTACGGCATATCAGCCTCAATGGGTTATTTAATGCCGACAAAATGTTATTGCTAGTAATATATTTTCTTTCAAAAATGTATTGCTGGCAATATTTTTTCAAAAATCTATTGCTGGTAATAATTTTGTCTTCAAAAATTTATTGCTGGTAATTTTTTTGCAAAAAACTATTACTGGTATTAAAACCTATTTTTACACTTTCATAGTGCTTTGACCCCAATTTGGGTGGTAACTATTTGCCCAAAGCTGGGGCCATCACAGCTGATACCACCTCGAGTCAGGGTGGTCCTGGGAACAGGAGCAATTAAGAGGTGCTTCCACGCTCCTCAAAGCCTCCCAATCAGAGGCCTTGCTGTTGGATGTAGTTTATCGTCATATCGAGGACGGGCGGATGTACTTTATCGTCATACCCAGGACGGGCGGATGTATTTTATCGTCATACTCAGGACGGAAGGAAATAGTCTATCGTCATACCGAGGACGGTCGAATGTATTCTATCGTTGTACCTAGGACGGTCTGCTGTATTTTATCGTCATACCCAGGACGGTCGGATATAGTTTATCTTCATACCCAGGACTGTCGGATGTAGTTTATCGTCATACCCAGGACAGGCGGATATAGTTTATCGTCATACCCAGAACGGGCTGATATATTCTATCGTCGTACCCAGAACGGTCGGTTGTAGTTTATCGTCAGACCCAGGACGGGCTGATATATTCTATCGTCGTACCCAGGACGGTCGGATGTAGTTTATCGTCATACCCAGGATGGTCGGATGTAGTTTATCGTCATACACAGGACAGGCGGATATAGTTTATCGTCATACCCAGAACGGGCTGATATATTCTATCGTCGTACCCAGGACGGTCGGATGTAGTTTATCGTCTTACCCAGGATGGTCGGATGTAGTTTATCGTCATACCCAGAACAGGCTGATATATTCTATCGTCGTACCCAGGACGGTCGGATGTAGTTTATCGTCATACCCAGGATGGTCGGATGTAGTTTATCGTCATACACAGGACAGGCGGA